TGTGATCGAGCGCACTGAGTGTGACGACTTCCCAGTTGGACACTACTATGCCATGCAAGAAAATGCGTGGATGGATGCAAAGGTATGGGCGAAGTACATACGCTCCGTTTTGGTACCTCGGGTTCAAGAGCCTTCGGTTGTTGCCCTTGACAACTTTGATGCCCATGTGTCTGATCAAGGCTACAAGCTTGCAGAAGAGGCTGGTTGTTTGGTCGCAGCGATCCCAGCGAATGTCACGAGTGCTATCCAACCACTCGACGTTGGCATTACGGCGCCATTCAAGCGCTGCTTACGAAGCCTTTGGCTGCAGGAAGATTTGATTTATGGTGATGACGATGAAGATGAAGATGGCTACGTGACTTCTGTCACTGCGAAGCCGATTCGATATGCCATGATATGCCGTGCTGTGAAGGCCTGGTCACTTATTACTCCACAGGAGATTTGTCGTAGTTTTGAGAAAGCGATTCCTCACGCTTACTGCATGGGTTAGCATAGCGTCGATTTAGGCAAATAACTTCATATTTGAGGAATTTGGATATTTTTTAAATAACGTTGAATTTTATCCAATTGAATTTATTTAACCATAGTTTTTAGTTTTACCTTGCGAAGTACAATTGACATGACCGATACCCTAATTTGGGATTATTTCAGTCCGAGGGTACCTCCGCCGAAGGTGGTCAATGGTGGTTGAAGCTTGCGAAATGCGAGGGGATCGCTTGTGTTAGGGGTGAAGGATTAGAATGGGGCCCTCATTGGACAGTTCGACTTTTTTGAAACTTTGAATATTGCGTAACTTGAGTATATATTGACATTTTGGTCGACTTGCAATGTACTCAAAGACTTGGCAATCCATGACCTGTAATTTAAAATATTCGTGGCATTTGAAATGAATTTTTTAATTTTGATTTATGTTTTTGATTGGCAAAAAATTAAACGAACTTCAAAGTAAGCTTTCCAATCAAATTGCTTGAAGCCCACGAAGTTCGAAGCTGGGGTGCTTCTTAAATTCTGTCGTCGTATGTACTAATGGCATGTCATCCAGCATGAAGAACAAACCCTCTCGAAGCGTATGGGTGGTGGCGGTACGGTTATGGTTTGGGGCAGAGTAAGCTTCAACAACAAGACTGAGCTAGCCATCCTAGACGGTCGACAAGACTCTGTGAAATATCAAGAACTTCACAGCTCTGCAAACAACCTACAGTCTGCAATTCGTGAATTGGCGGTCCTTTCCGAGTCGGACACCCCTACGTTCCAACAAGACAATGCCAGTATTCACCGATCTCGCTCGACATTGGCCTACCTTGAAGCCATGCCATGGCCAACTATGCAGTGACCTGCGAAAAGTCCCGATATGAGCCCCAATCGAGAATGTTTGTGGTGTTCTAGCCCGATATGTCTATGCCAACCGTCGTCAGTTCGAAACAAGGGCTGAATTGAAGGTACAAATTCTCAACTCTTTGGCTAAGATCGATCAATTATACTTAGCCAAGTTAGCTGAGGGTATGCCTACGAGAATGGCCCAAACAATACATTACCGGGGTAATAGCATTGATAGATAGACATGTTAACGAGTGCGCCTGAAATTTCTTTTAAGCACTTTTCACTTTCCGTTACATCATAAACCTTTTCTACCCTGCCGATTGAGTACACGATTGTCTGGACTACGAATGGGCTTTAACTGCTATCCTTACAGATACTTGAGAAGGTGCAAATTTTGGGGTGCGTCTATGCTAGTATTTTCTTTTCAGATTGTATTTGTCAATAAGGGAGGGTTTGTGGAGATCCAATTTGTCAGGAGTATGGTAGACATAAATCACAAATGTTGAAATAGATCATTCATCACAGCACATATTCCTTCACTCTATCTTCTGTTTGGCTATTTCCAACTCCTGCTCGAGGATTGTGGCCTGTCGTTTGTCGATATTGAAAGTCTTGTTGTCATGAACTACCTGCGAGGTGACGAGATTAGGTGAGCCAATTGCCATTTAATCAAATTTTGAATAGTTAACGATTTGCGTGTGTTCAACCGCCGCAAACTGTTAAAAAATGAAATTTCGACACCATCGCTGGACCCCAATGGCGACAGCACAACAGCAATGCCGCAGTTAAGCTGCTGGACAATGGATAGCTGTCGCCATCACTTGTGAAGCACTCAACTCGTCGCTGAGATTGTGTTTGTGATGTACATCGATCTTTAAGGCATAGAAATGGTGAAGTTACGCCTTCACCGCCCTCGCGCACATCATGCATAAAGCACGCATACATCAAATTTTCCCCGTCAGCGATTCCATCCACGGTCATCTACATGGAGGCGAGGGGAACGATTGCCGTCTTGTGGTCACAGCAGTCGGTCGGAAGTGATGTCAAACACGGCCGTGGTGTCGTGGGCAAGGTACGGAGAAAACAAGATATGCAGGGTGCGCTGGGACGGTGACCGCGCTGACTTGCGAATGAGAAAGCTATGAATGGTTTAAAAATGGCAGATCGGGAACGGAGACGGACGTACCGTTGATTTACGCACGAGGACCAGGCAAGTCCGAGAGCGGGAATGTTGCCGTCCTTCTGCATGTCGGCCGTCATGTGGTTCACGACAATGAACACGGCGCGGTACTGCTTGGCGAGGATGTGCATGCAATGGACAATGTCGAACATCATTCGCGTGCGATCTCCCGCGTCGGCGGCCTTCTCCACGGATTGCCCCCGAAACACTGCTGCTATAGAGTCGACCACCACGAGTCGCACGCCATGCAACTCCATGAGCGATGGCAGTCGGGATTTCTATAGTGAATGATATCCATCACAGCAACAATTGGAATAGAATGATACGTACTAACGCATGGAGAAACTGCGTTGGGTCAGTCGCAGCTTCGAGGAATATCCGATTGAGCTGCACTGGTCCGCTGTCTGAATAATGAGCGGCGAGTTCCTGGAGTCTCTTCATTGGGGAGAGACCGTCCGAGTACATGTAACAGCTGCTGGCATTCAACCCCCCGCTTTCTCCTTGTGGAAGTTGCGATCGCAAGAGAAGCTGCAAGCACAACTGCGTTTTTCCGCTGCCAGCACACCCACATACTTCCGACACGAACCCGACGGGAAATCCTCCGCGCAATGCTTCGTCGACATTTGGACACCCTGTCGCAAGGCGTTCATCGACCCGCAGTGTCGCCAAGTCCCACGCCGTGAGCCCTTCCATGCAACGCTGTGAATCACATCAATGCAATTCCGAAATAATATTACTTGACATTTGTATGCCTTTTTTATTTAGGGTTGTCAAGCGCACTGTTCGCGCCAAGATCAAGTTCCTCCGTCATGGTCGTGCCGCGAGGGAGCATGATGGGTCTCACGCGTGTTCTTGGCATCCAGCAATCTCAATCTCGTCGAGAAACGGTACGTGTGTTGGCCGTCCTGATGATGCTTGTGCCGTCGTCGTCCAAGGACAGCTCCAACCCGACAGTCTGTGCGTGCCGCCTACGAACTTCTACATGACATCGACGTATTCCATATCTCGACAGCTCGTCGCCTCTGTTGTGGCATCCACGAGCATGGCTGGGAAACCACTGGCAATGCCCTTCACTACGGCCCAGGACGCATCTGTTGGCCCCACGTTGCCGGCTCAACATTTCGAGGATATAGAAAACATGACGCACAATCGTGCTGGCTTTTCCAGGTTCGCGTAGGCATCCTGGCAGATCTTGATATGTCGGCGTCCCGTCGTCGATCAGAACCCCTTGGACACCATCCATAGGTATCTCCTTCGCACGTCGCGCAGGTACACGATCCCAGCAGACCCTTCATGTCTAGTTTCTTGCGTACGATCGTTCCCCTTGCTTCCATGTATTTTACCATTGCAGGAATCGCCGACGGCCCCTCGCAAAGTCATCATCTCACGGGAAAGTCATGACTACAATTTCTTCAGAATCGACAGACGACGGGCAACTCGATCGAGCAGGACTACGATCCCACAAAGCATGCCGAGATCCGCTCACCAACTCTCGCATGCACGCATCGCTGGAAGACATCGACAGGTCCTCGATGCCAAGTTACGATGACCACGCAGCCGCGCCGTCGTCGCGGCCATTTCTTTACGTGCTGCAGATCGGAAAACCGAAGATTTGACTGTTCTCGACGTCACGAAAACAA